GCATTAAAATTATTTTATCTAGGCATAAATTATTTGAAACAAAGAATTACACATAATGAACTATGAAAAATTAACATATTATACATAATAAAATTATTAATTGAATAATGGTATCAAARATGTTATATTATTGGTTTTATAGTAAAATGTAATGCATGCACTTTCACACCAAAACATTAATACATATTATAATAATATTTATCATTCTTTCATTAACATAAACATAAGTATTTGCTRAACATTAACWCAATTATTTAAACTTATATTTACCATATCACATTCTTCAGGATCGGCTACCATTCCTTTCATTTTATATCTAGCCCCTTCTTTGGCTATTCTTCCAGCAAATTCTTCTGCAGTCCCTGTTTGGCTTCCATAAAATACTACTAAACTACGGCCAGTTGATTTTAGTTTTTTTATAAAGGAACTATTGGAGGTCTGCTCAATAGAATTTAATGAAGATGGTCTAAACAAGTTAAATTCAAGTTTTAGTGATTGAATATAATTTAATACATAGTAAATTTATAATATGATAATCATATAAATTATAGGTACAACATAATATTAACACAGATAACACAYAACGCAAATAAAAAACAAATGTTTTTTTTTACTTTATTGATTTAAATCAAAATTAGTATAAATATTAAAATTATTTTATTTTAATTTTAAATGCGATAATTTCTGTATGTTAACACTCATAGCTAAATTAATAAAATGAATTAAATAAAACATATACAGCCATTGGTTAGCTTTACTTTTAAAGCTGTCTTATTTCGTTAACCTTGGTGTATTAAAATGTATAATGGAGCTATATTTTAAATGTCTATGTGACAATTATTGCATTAAAAAAAATCAAGACAGAATGTATGTTATTAGAAKGGTGGATTGTTTTGTTACAAAATTGTTACATTTGCATAGTTTTAAAAAAGTTTATTGGAAAAATTACTTTTTAGTGTTATATGTGTGCAATTTGTATTCTTTTTCCGTAGAAGTGTATTGCAATAACCTTTGACGCTTTTATTATTAACTCAAAATAGGTTAATTAAAAAAAGTAAAGAAYTGTAAAAATAGTGTTAAATCACTCCATTTTTAGTATCAATATAAATATAAGGTACACAATGCAACATATTTTGTATTAAAGATTAAATCTTTAATTTAATTCTTATAATTTTTATAATATTAT